TGACCATGTGGTGCAATCATATTATATACATCCACAAGCATTGAATTATAAAACATAACATTCAATTCATCTCTTTCTCTATGATCAATCCATACAAAATATGTAGGCTTAAATTCATTAAGGTACAAATAAACCATGACTGTGTCTGGTTCAAAAAAATTTAAGCACCTACATGCACTACAAGGACACCTAACCAATCCATTATTCTTGAAAATATCATGTGTCATTGTATGTTCAATAAAATTTCTAACACCGTCAATAAACTCAGGTTTCAAACCAGCACCAGTTTCATAATGCATATTATACATCCACAAACGATGATCCATCTACAAATATATAGATATTCAATTATATTAATAAATTTAATAATAATTTTACCACAATAAACTAATTTATATTGTTAATATAAATACTACATTGCAATATCTACAAAGTTAAAACTTAATTAATTAATGAATATTAATTAATTAAGTTCAAATTAAGTTCACGTTCTAGTTAAGTTCAAAATTAAGTTTATATTCCTAATTAACTTTTCAAGTTATTATAAATTAATTAGGTTCAATAAAGTGCTAATTAATTTAAGTTCAAATTAATTAAGGTCAATAAGATTTCAAGTACTTCAAAATTCTAATTAAGTTCAAATAAAATCCAAGTTCTAATAAAGTTAAAAATTAAGTTCTAATTGATTAAGGTCAACAATATTTCAAGTTCATATTCCTAATTAAGTTCGAGTTATAGTAAATTCAAGTTATAATTAATTATAAGTTCTAATTAGGTTGTTATTCAAATCCCTAAAATTCCAAATTCAATCTAGCTAGCTAGTGCTAAAATTCCAAATTCAAATTATTAGTCGTAAAATCTCAAATATAATTCAAACTAGTCCTAAATTTCAAATTCAAACTAGTCTTAAAATCACAAATTCAAAGTACTCCTAGAATCCAAAAATCGAACTAGTGCTAAAATCCCAATTCAAACTATTAGTCCTAAAATCTCAAATATAATTCAAACTAGTCCTAAATTCCAAATTCAAACTAGTCTTAAAATCACAAATTCAAAGTACTCCTAGAATCAAAAAATAAAACTATAGTGCTAAAATCCCAAATTCAAACTACTAGTCCTAAAATCTCAAATATAATTCAAACTACTAGTCCTAAAATCTCAAATATAATTCAAACTAGTCCTAAATTTCAAATTCAAACTAGTCTTAAAATCACAAATTCAAACTAGTCCTAAAATTCCAAAATCAAACTAGTGATAAAATCCCAAATTCAAACAAGTCATTAAATACCGTAATTCAAACCAGTCCTTAAATACCGTAATTCAAACCAGTCCTTAAATACCCTCATTCAAACTAGCCCTAAAATCCCAAATTCAAAATAGCATGTCCTAAAATCCGAAAATCAAACTAACTCAAATAATATCCAAATTCAAACAACCTCTTAAATGCCCTAATTCAAACTAGTCATAAAATCTCAAAATCAACCTTATTAACTCAAGAAATACCCAAATTCAAACAAATCCTAGCTAGGATACCCTAATTCAAACTAACCCTAACATTAAAAAATTTCAATTCACTCACTAACTGATAATCCCTTATTCAAACTAACAATCAATACACAACAAAATCAATAAACTAATTACAATTAAATAACTAACAAAATCAAATAAACTAATTACAATTAAACTAATAACAAAATTGATTTTTTAAAAAATAAATTAAACCCTTAACCTTAAAGGAGAAGGAGAGAATGAAGAGAGAGGGGAAGGAGGCGGCGACAGCTCTGGAGGGACGGCGATGACAGCAGCTCTTGGTGACTCGAACGGAGGGACGGCGGCGGTGAGGAGTGGAGAAATGGGAAATGGGGGAAATCGCAACTGTATGTATTAGATATTTAATGAAAAGCGACGGACAACGTCTCTATGTCCGTCACTTTTTTTAAAATTGTTGACCAACATTTTCACTAAAAATTGAGGGGCAAAGAGACACTGTCCGTCACTTATTTAAAATATTTGACCAAGAAGCGACGGACAAAAAGATGATGTCCGTCGCATTCATAAAAAAATAATTAATAAAGTAAATAAATTAAAAGCGACAAACGGCGTGGCTATTGTTTAATTTATATATAATTATTTTTAATTAAAAGCGACGGACAATGTCTATATCTATATTAAATAAATAATTATTAATTATATATATATATATTTGGCGCAAAAATTCACGGAAAAAAGCGACAGACTAAGAGATGCCATCCGTCGCTTTTTGTAAAATAATTTAAAAAATAATTATTTTTATTAAAAAGCGACGAACAGTGTGGCAAATGACGTCGTTTTTTGGAGCGACGCCGTCCGTCGCTTTTCTGTTCATCGTTTTTTAGCAATTTTTTAATAGTGAAAATGTTTTACCTCTAATATGAAACTTTTCGGCATAAATTCAAATTTAATCGGATACCAAAATAAATATCAAGAGGAAAAGAAACTCAATTTAGCAACAATCTTTAAGTGGTCAAGTCAATCAGTTTCAAATACTATGCATTTCAAACTTTAAAGAATACCATATATAAATGACTTGCTTCTCATAAGGAATCTTTTGATGGAAATGATGTGGTTGAGGGACGATCCAATAATTGAATTTGTTAGAATCTGTACTTTTGCTATTTCATATTAATTCATTTTGTGAGGCAATATACACTTATTAATGAATACATTTAAAGATATAATTTAAACTATACTTTTCATCACTCTTATATATTAGTTGATTACTGTATTAAAAATAGTTGTTCCATATTAGTTGATCTACAAAAAAAGTGTTTGAATTGACTTAAAAGTTGGTCAAACTTACTTTTGAGTCCGTTTTTGATAACTGAAAGTGTTTGACAAATATAAAAATAATTTTTAATAATTAAAAAATGACTTACAGTGACTTTAAAAAGTTAAAAATCAAAAGTAGGTCTGGACAGAAAGACCGGCCAGACAGTGGCGTAGCCACAGCCACCCCAGGGTGTTTTTGTCGAAAAATTACGTTGTATATATATGTTAAATTTTACATTTAAATTATATATATTTAAAGTTAGACACCCTTAACAAAAGTTATGCCTTTGTCGTAGTGATAATGGGTGTGTTCGAATTTGAACCCCAAATATCACAATATTTTTTTACTTTTTTTTTTTAACAGTCATACATCATTATTTTTGGACATTCTAAATAAAATTTATGGTTCCACCACTATGGCCAGATTACTAGAGATAGACAGGCGGCTCCACTTGATAGTACACCACTCTTTTTTTTTTGCTTTTTGTAGTTTACAGCTTTTATTATGTAAAAAAAAAATAGGTAGTCCATCTCTATCGACAAAGGAATGGATGATAATGGATAAACATCTACTAATGCTTTGTATTCCATCTTTTTCTTCCACTCAAAATTAACTTGAGTTGACGTATTTTTCAAGCTGGATTGTACACAAGGTTAAGAATACATTTGAAATATATAATTTTTTGATATAATAATATAAAGTGATTATGTATTATTTTATAATTTATTGTATTATACTATACTGTATTATTTTAATGAATAGATTGGATTGTTCTTTATCGTCACCTAATGTCACACATCTATAATTTGAGTGATAAACCTTCAAAAAAAGTAGGGTATGGTAAAGCTATTACTCCCTCCGTTTCAAAATGAATGATGTTGTTTCTTTTTTAGTCTGTTTCAAAAAGAATGACCATTTCTTTTTTTTGGCAACACTTTAACTTCAACTTTCCACGTGACATGTTTAAGGCCACAAGATTATATGACATTTTGATACATTTGACATAACTTTAATTTAGAACCACAAGATTAAATTATTATTTTTCTTAAACTTCGTTTTAAATCAAAGTAGGTCATTCTTTTTTAAACGGAGAGAATACAAAAAAATATAATCTATCTATATAGAATAGGAGAGGAAAAAGTGTCATGTCAGCACCACAAAAAATCTCTAATTTTTAATTTTTAAATTATAAATTAATTAAATAGAGTTAATTTAATTTTTAAAGGGAAAAAAGTAACTGTTTTAGAAGACAAATTAGAATTTTTGTTTTTTTTATTTAAATGAAAAAAAATGTTAGATGTTAATAGACAAGTTGGATTCTTAGAATTTTGAGTTTTAAAAAATCAAATAAATATATATAACTAAAAGCTTATTAACAAAAAAAATTATCTAATAATAATAATAATAGTTTATATAATAATAATAGTAATATATATATATATATATATATATATAAAATTTATCTGCATTTTGATTTGAGTTTAAATACAAAAATTTTATATTTAAATGATTTTATAAAATAAAAAATAGGAAGATAAAAGCTTGTGGTTTTGAAAGTGGTTACAGTTCCCAATTTTATCATAATTTTAGGAGGTTTTCAAATTTAAATACATTTTGAATTCAAACGAACTTCAACTTTTCAACTTTATCATCAAATTATGTATTTTTTTTACGTGAAATTGAAAGATTTAAAATAATTTATAATTCAAAAAACAAAACAAAAATTTAAAGCAATTTAAAAATAATTAAAATTAAATATTGTTTCTAAAACAAATATGAAAACAGTTTTAATACATACACGTGTATTAGTTTTAGAAAAAGTAGAAATATAAATTAAAAATAATTGATTTAAAAAATTTAGATTGTGTTTATCTTTTACAGAAACCGCAAGATAGTGAGTTACTATTTAAAAGAGTTCTAATTTCTCTCTATTACTTTATTAATTTAAAATACAATTTTCCAAAACAAAACAACATTTGTTTTAGATTGCGGTCAAGTTTGTGTATTCATTATATTAATTATAATGTCTTATTATTATTATTATTATATATTACTAAGTATTCTTATTACATTTTAAATCAGGCATATATACTAGTAATACTATATAGTACCCCACACCCCACCCCACCCCACGCTACTTCATTCATTCATAAACAAAAATTGAAGCTCTGAATTGGCTCGATCAGATTCTATGACGATTTATCTGAAAGAAAGATTTGGCTATTTTTTGAATAACAGATGGCTCGTGTTCGTTGCTGCAATGTGGATTCAAATTTGTGCGGGGATTGTATTCCTATTCGGCAGTATTTCTCCAGTAATTAAAATCTCTCTGAATTACAATCAGAAACAGATTGCTCGATTGATTGTGGCAAAAGATTTGGGTTATAGTCTTGGATTTTTAGCTGCTACTTTGTGTGAAATTTTTCCCTTATGGGCTGCACTTCTTGTTGGTGCTATCCAGAATTTTATTGGATATGGTGGGATTTGGCTTATTGTTACTCGAAGAACTGCACCTTTGCCATTATGGGCTGTGAGAAGACTACCCTTCTTCATTAAGTTTTTGATCGAAAAATGTTTTTTAACTATCAAAAAAAATTAAAATATTTTTTTACAAAACTTAAAATATAAAAAATGATTTTTCTTAATTGAAGCCTGAAAATAAGTTTTACAAGTGATTCAATTGACTGTGTTCTTCTCTAACTTATAACACATCTCATCTTCATCTCAATTGTGCACTTCTTTGACTTAAAATACTGAATACAAAAAAATAAGTAAAAAACGTATTTATCATCTCGGATTTTTTTTTCTTTTCTTTGCTTATCTACCGAATTTAAAGATTTCAAAAAATATTTTCCTAGAATTTTTTTCTTTTGATAGAAAATATTTTCCTCCGTACTGAACGCACCTCTGTCTTTATTATGAGTTTTCCTTTGAAACGAGGCTCTTGCTGTCCACTCATTTCATTTGTATCTTTTTGCTATCGTTGGACGTTGAAAAGTTTCCATTTTTTTTTATAATTGAAGTCAATTTCGTTTTATCTTGTATGATATGCATTAAAATAATAGGATTGTCACGAAATCATTTTTTTTTTTGCTTTGTCAAACACAAAAACTAATTTTCAAAAAGTTTGGTGTGGAACTCTTGATATCTCAACATGCTTGAGCTCAATTTAGAGGCAGAATCAAGGTTAAGAGTTTGAGGGTTCTAAATCAATTTTGTTTGGGGGTTCAAATGTTAATATATATATATATATATATATATATATATATTTATTTAATTTTCTAATACAAATATAGAATCTGTAAAAAAGCTAATGGGTTCGTTCAAACCCATGAACTCCGTCTAGCTCCGCTTCTCAAATGGCCTCAAAGTCGAAGAACATGTTTCTGTCCAGGGCAGATTCAAAGTTTTAGCTACGGGTTAACAAAACTAATAACTTTTTGCTAATACTTGTATATTAAAAAATTGACTAATATTTTATAAATATTTAACTGTAAATCCAAATAAATATGAGGTTATTATAAAAATCTATAAATTTCAAATTTTGAATCCATTTTTTTTTTCTTTTTCTGCATTCAATAATTGTTCTTTTCTTTTTTTCTAGTCTGACATTTCTATTTTGAGGAAGTATTTAGTGTAAAAACGAAGTTGCCCGTAAATCGTAACAGTAAATGTTAGACAAGCATTTGTGCCATTTAATGTGAGATTAAGGGTGTGTTTGGTATGAAGGAAAATGTTTTCCATGGAAAATGTTTTCCTGGAAAACAAGTTGATTTTTGACTTATTTTCTCATGTTTGGTTGGGAAGTAGAAAATATTTTATGGAAAAGATTTTTAGTGTTTGATTTATAAATGAAAAATATTTTTGAGAAATATCTTTTATGTTTACTAGAGTAGAAAATAATTTTTGAAATTGAAAATAGATTTTACAAACAAACTTAAATTTTTTTTTGGGGGGTGGGGGTGGTAGGGGGTGGGTGAAGGGGGGGGGGGGGGTCGAGGGTAGGGGTGAAAAATTGAAATTTTGAAGTTGAAAATATTTTTGAAAAACAAACTTAAAATTATTTTTTGGGGTGGGGGGGGGGGCTGGTAGGGGGGTGGGTGGGTGGGGGTCGAGGGTAGGGGTGAAAAAATGAAAATTTGAAATTCAAAATATATTTTAAAAACAAACTTGAAATTTTTAATTTTTTTTGGGGAGGGGAGGTAGGGGGCTGGTAGGGGATGGGTGGGTGAGGGTCGAGGGTAGGGGTGAAAAAATGAAATTTTGAAATTGAAAATATTTTTTAAAAACAAACTTGAAATTTTTTATTTTTTTTTGGGGAGGGGGGGTGGGTGGGTGGGGGTTCTAGGGGTGAAAAAATGAAATTTTGAAATTAAAAATATTTTTTAAAAACAAACTTAAATTTTTTGTGGGGGTGGGTGGGTGGGGGGGCTGGGTAGGAGGTGGGTGGAGGGGTCAAGGTTAAGATGAAAAATTGAAATTTTGAAGTTGAGAATATTTTTTAAAAATAAACTTAATTTTTTTTTTGAGGGGGGGGGGGGGTTAGGGGTGCGTGAGTGGGGGGCTGGGTAGGAGGTGGGTGGGGGGTCGAGGGTAGGGTGAAAAAATGAAATTTTGAATTTGTAAATATTTTTTAAAAACAAACTCAATTTTTTTTTGGGGAGTGGGTGATCGAGGATCGGGATGAAAAAATAAAAATTTGAAGTTGAAAATATTTTTTAAAAACCGACTTAATTTTTTTCTTTTTGAAGGGGGTTGGGGGCTAATAGGGGGGGGGGGGGTTGATGGGGGGAGCAAGGGTGGTGGGTAAAAAAATAAAATATTGAAATTAGAAATATCTTTTAAAAACAATTTTTAATATTTTTTTTGGGGGGGGTGGGGGTAGGGGTGAGGGTGGGGTAAAAAAAATTGAATTTAAAAACAAGCTTTAAAATTTATTTATTTATTTTGGGTTGGGGGGGGGGGGGGGTTGGTTGGGGGTGGTTTGAGGGTAGGGACAAAATAAATTGATTTTTTCAACAAAAAAATAATTGTAATTTGAAGTTGGAAGATAATTTTGGAAAATGTTTTCCCTAAGTTTAGAAGAGAAGTCATTTTCCTTAAATTTGAGAAAAATGAGTTGATTTGGAAAACATTTTCCAAAACATTTAGCCCAACTAAACATAAGAAAATTGGAAAACATTTTCCGGAAAATGTTTTCCTTCATACCAAACACACCCTAAGTGATCGTGTCCAAGTTGATACCTTGCATGCTAAGTGCTATTTAAATTGCATCCGTATCTCCTCATTTTAGGAAAATATATACATAGAAAACTATTTATGTTTTATTTTTGGGATAAGGGTCTGAAAAATATCTTAACTTTGGTCGAATTTGCTATTGCGATACTAAACTTTCATGAGGACCTATTACCTCCCTAAACTATTTAATACTGTATTTTTTAAATAGTCTAGGGAGGTAATAAGTCCTCATGAAAGTTTAGTATCGCAATAGCAAATTCGACCAAAGTTGAGGTATTTTTCAGACCCTTATCCCTTTATGCAAAGAACTCATATCGACAATAACTCTGCTCGCTTAGAGTTGAGGCATAGTACCAAAGTTTGCACTTGGATATTGATATAATCAATTGTCATTCTGCTTCTCTCAGATGGCTGGTCATGTTAGGATTGAAAATAGTTAGGTTTTATGCAGAGGTGAATCTAGGATTTGAAGACTTCAGATGCATCAAATATGATCTCTAAGCAAAACTTAAAATAAACATAATGAATTAGCACTTTAGTCAGATTCGAACCCTAGTCAAACAGGTAGTTCCTATGCCTTTTACCACCAGCACAAGAACACTCATATGTTTCGAACGAGTGCGTTGTTAATTATATCCTAGTTTCTGTCAGTTTCTCAAGATAGGTATATAAATACACACATGATTTTTTCCGAAGTTAAAGAGTGCACTTGCTCCCCCACTTAATAAGGTAGGTCCGCCTCTGGTTTCATGCAAAAGCTATAAAAGCAAACCTCGAAACACCATGAGTAAGAAGACAAACAAGAAACATATCATAAAACACAAAGAATTAACGTGGTTCGGTCAATCGATCCACATCTATAAAAAAAAAAAAGAGCAATCCACTATATAAATATGAGATACAAGGAGGTTTACACAAGTGATAACTATCACTTGTATCCCACAGATTCTCCCCCTTAACCATAAATCTCAAAGTCCGACTACATTGAGAATGCTAATTAAATTAAAAGGAACAAGCCTCTATTTATAGAGTCCTAAACCTTTTCCTACAAGAAAAAGAACAGTAAATTCCAAACCTTTCCCTACAAGAAAAACCCATTGATCTCACTCCTCAGTCCCTATTTTGCTGACCATCATAATGAATTATGTTTTATCCATGACATAAATTGGGCATAACGTATTAGTGTCTACTAGAGTGCAAAATTGTCACACATTTTGTTTTTGCCCTAACAGCATACTTAAGTTTAACTATTTTTCTGCAGATGTGCATTCTTATATTTGTAGGAACAAATGGTGAAACCTACTTCAACACAGCAGCTTTAGTCTCTTGTGTGGGAAATTTCCCGAAAAGTCGTGGTCCTGTAGTTGGGATTCTTAAGGGATTTGCTGGGTTAGGTGGTGCTATTTTAACTCAGATATATGCAGTAATCCATTCCCCGGATCACGCTTCACTTATATTTATGATTGCCGTTGCACCAGCAATGGTGATTATAGCTCTCATGTTTATAATCAGGCCTATTGGAGGCCATAGACAAGTTAGGCCTTCTGATGGTTTAAGTTTTTCATTTGTTTACAGTATATGCCTCCTTTTAGCTTCTTACTTAATGGGAGTTATGCTTGTTGAAGACTTTATTGATGTTAGCCAAAATGTTATTATAATCTTCACAGTTATTCTATTTGTTATCTTGATAATTCCTATTGTGATCCCTATCTATTTGAGTTTCACTCAAGAGCCAATAGTAGTACAAGAAGAAGAGGCACTTCTATCTCAGTCAGGTGATCAGGGTCCTGGCAGATCAGAACACGGCGATGGTCAAGAAATTATATCATGTGAGGCTGAAGAGGAGAAGCCGAAGGGAGTAGACTTGCTTCCTGCTTTAGAAAAGCAAAAAAGACGAGGTCCTTGTATGGGAGAGGACTTTACTTTAGTCCAGGCTTTAATAAAAGCAGATTTCTGGCTTATGTTTTTCTCATTGCTTTTTGGTTCTGGATCTAGTTTGACTGTCATTGATAACTTGGGACAGATGAGCCAATCTTTTGGATACGATAACACACATGTATTTGTTTCCATGATTAGCAGATGGAATTTCCTTAGACGTATTGGCAGTGGATACTTTTCTGAGATAATCGTCAGGTATGAACTTATCTTTACATGAATATTCAAATTAAATCTCATTAGTTTCTCATATGACATTGTCAAACAGGGATAATGCATATCCAAGGCATGCAGCGTTGGCTATTGCTCAAGTCGTGATGGCCTTTGGTCATTTCTTCTTTGCTATGGGTTGGCCTGGAGCTATGTATATTGGTACTCTTTTGGTTGGACTTGGTCATGGAACTCATTGGGCGGTTGTGCCAGCCGCTGCTTCTGAATTGTTTGGGTTAAAGAATTTTGGGTGTGTGTACAATTTCCTCACTATTTCCACACCAATTGGTTCATTAGTATTCTCAGGTCTTATTGCTAGTAGTATTTATGACATGGAAGCTGAAAAGCAAGCTCAACAACCCCATGAAGGACGCTTGATGGCATCGGTTTTGACAAGATTTTTGAACATGGATGAACCTCTAAAGTGTGAAGGTACCATTTGTTTCTTCTTGACTTCCTTGATATTGTCAGGACTCTGCATTATTGCAGCTGTTCTAAGCATGATTCTGGTGTACCGAACAAAGACTCTGTACGCTAATCTGTATGGAAGATCTCGTATGTAATGTATCCTCGACGGATAGAAATATAAGGACATCTTCTGTCAATTCATATTTCCAAGGAGTGGATGTTTAATAGGGTGAGGTAGAATTTTAAAAAAATAAATAAAATAATACAATATTTTGAAGGAATGAATGGATAACCCTTCTTTTTTTGGGGGGAGGGGGGAGGAGCGCGATATGGGTAGGAGGTGGTGGAGTGGGGTAAGAAAAATTTAAAATTTTATTTTAAAAAAAAATATTTTTTTGGGGATAGTAATACTTTAATCTTTAATATTTAATTAATACTAGTAGTTTATTATTTAATTTTTGTGAAGGTGAAATATATCTATTCATGTGGAATGTTCAAGTTTTTTTTCAAATAAAAGGGAGAGTGTATTACACATACCACAGAGGTGTGTTTCTCAAACTAATAAGTGATAGTTTATGTATAAAATTCACACCCTCAATAGTTTAGTCTAGGTATGAAAGTCAAACTAAAATGACTTTAAAGTTAAAAAAAAAAAGCTTAAAATGACTTTAAAAAATCAAAAATCAAAAATAGGTCTCTGCCTACTTTTAGTTTTTGATTTAAAAGTCATTTCAATTTGACTTTTTATTTAACTTAAAAATAATTTTTTAATTTAATTCAAACATGCTCTAAATAAATAAATAAAAAACATTAGTAATGCATGTATTAGTTATGCTTTCGTTGATTATACATAAATTATTTTTATGTATTGTTTGGTTTGATGGATAAAAAATAGCATGTATTGCATAAAAAAAATTATTTATAAAGATACCCTCCCTCCATTTTCATGGTGGAAAAAATATAAAAAGGTTTTGAGGAGTAATTGAGTCTTTAATTGAGTTTTTGCATGCATCGAAATCATTACATTGCTAGTACCTAGAAATTCATGGTATTAGCAATACACACAATTATACATAGGCTTGAAAAGAGTACCAAACAAGGTACTAGTAATACACAAGGCTAATGCATGCATTATTTTTCCAACACACTCTATCAAACGACCCCTAAGAGTGTTCACATTTGTTTGTAGAATTTCAAGAAGTTTTTTAATGAGTAAATTAGTAAAATTATCTTTTTATTTATGATTTCTTAAGCACTTTACAAAATGAAAAGTGACCAACTAATATGAAACAGAAGAAATATTGTTCTTTGTGAAATAATAAATACAACTTTGTAAGTAGTGTAATTCATCTTTCAGAAAATATAAACCTTTAATAAGTTAAAGGTAAACATGATTTTAAAAAAAATATTTATCTTAATGTTGACATCCAATTTTGGCCACCCTCCACAATTTGATTAACTTTCAAGCTTCTTAAACTTCAAACAATTTGAAATAATTGTTTTCGAAAATTAAAAAAAAAATACTTTAGAGATCATTTTCAAGGCGATTTTCCGTTTTTCCTATAAAATATATCTCTATATACTTAAGATATATAGATTTATATAATTTTCATATTTTTTTTTGAATAAATATTTAGAAAATCGTTTTACCAAAAAATAGAGTTTTAATTAAGTACGCATCATATTACCTTTAAAAGTGATAGCAATTTAGTTAAGATCTTTTCAAAATAATTAATTTGTTTTGTTAAAGTTAAAGAAGCTTGAGTAATCAGTTGAGTTTATAATTTTGTCTCGTTCCCATTTTATCAAACGTGAATTAATTGAAATCAATTTGAGTTTGATGGAGATTTAGATCAAAGGACGTGTTCCCTTTGAATCCCTCAATATGAACTTTATTTAGTTCATATTTGGACTTTCAGATAACCTCTAACCCAAATTTTAGCCCAAATTCCCAAAACCCAATTCTTTTGGCCTACAATTTCATTACTCCACCGACCCAACATACAAACGCAGCCCCACCCGACCTGATACTCTTCTTCTTCGCGTGAAAGAACAACGACCAACTCTACAAACACAGAAAGCAGTCCAACCAGTCGCGACCCATCGTGAGTCCAATCGCGCGTGTCCGTCCTCTTCTCTCCTCTCCTTTCTTTCTTATCCTTTTCGTACAAAAAAGTTGGAGAATCCTTAGGTGTCGAAATCATATGGCTCGATCGTCCTTTTTTCAAAATCAAGCGTCTCTCTTCAAATAACCGTGTGAGAATTGTACAATTTCGTACAAAATTCCAACTCGCGCCTTATCCTCTAAGAATTTCAAAATTCCAGTAGTCCCACATCGAGAATTCATCCATTTTTTGGGATTTTCGGGTTTCTATATAAACCCACCCCATTCACTGTTCAAGGGGACGGATTTTCGGAGAACAAAGAGTACCCTAAAAGTTTTGGGAATCTTGGTACCATAGTTTAAAATTTTAAAACGTATTGAGGTTGTTCGAGTTGAAAGAGGTGGAATCATCTCCGTCAACTCGTCGTTTCGGTTCGCTGCCCAGAACCAGGTAACATTCTTATTCCTTTCCTTTTAGTTTTCTGCTTTATGAAATCAATAGTAGATTCCTCTGTTATCTGCCAAGTTAAATTTAGTCTTTCTTAGTTTTGGTATTAATTGTTTGTTCTTAATTTAATTTTGATGTTGAAGTGTTTGTTTTTCTTTAGCGATTATGTAGGACTAATTTAGTTTACTAAATAAAGGTGTTCAAACCTTCAGCTATTCAATTTCAGTTTTGATAGGGGTGATTAAAATTTTGTTCAAAATTTTGGATTTAGTTGTCAATTCTCCATGTATTTGTTGTAAAAGGTCTTATGCATTTATATGCCCTGTTATTTTCTTTTTCTTAATGTTGAGGTCTTTCTATTTGTTGTTTCAAGTTTTATGCTTAGCTGAAATCTCGTGTTGCAATTTTCCCACCATTTTCTAAATGCATGTTGATGGCTCCAATGTTCTTCCGAAAGTCGTTTAAAGCATTAACCTAATCTGAATTTGTAGATGTCAATTTTAGTGTGTAATCTTGTATTCCTTTTTTATTTGAATGGGGTGATTTGTTCATCAGGTTTGTTTAAATTAGTGAGGTTATTAGCTGTGTAGTTCTTCTACTCATCTAGTTAGAATGCAATGTTTAGCTTATTTAAGCCTTGCTTCTGTGTTAGATGAGTTGATGCATATTTTACTACTCAAACATTGCATGTGGTCTACTAATCTTGTTACTCGGTATTACGTGTTTCAACTAAGTCTTAGGTGTGCTTGTTGAAATTTCGAACGAGCCTATCCTTCCTAATTCATTTTTTTGAGTCTTTTATTTTAAAAACTATAAGTTATTCTTAATATCTTTGAGTTACTTGTCTAGACAAAAAAAAGGTTCAATCTTAAAGGGACAATGTTACTACGTCAAATTAGATCTTAATCCCTCTTTAGATAACTGTTTTGTTTCTCTTAAATTACATGTTATCGTTAGATCTTTTCCTAACTCCATATGTCGCTTATTAATCCTCTTTATTTTATTTCTATGATCTTAGCATATTGAAGGGTATTTATTTGTATGTTGTCCATTTTGTACAGAAGGCTAACTTGTGATCTTGAATTTAATATCACGTAGAAATCATTTGTTTGAAGTGTTTTCTAGTTCATTGTTTGCATCAGAGTCATATAAAGCCCCCTCCTTTTTCTTTTTCTTTTTTCTTCTTTTCAATGATATTTAAGGTTTTCATGTAGATTAAGAATTGAAAATGGAGTCTGTTTTTGTGCCATTAATGTCTCATCAGAATCTTCGTTGCTTAAATTTGAAACTTCTTTGAGCTTTTCTTCTATTTGTTGACTTCTCTTCTTGTTGATTTGTTGATCTATTATGATAAGATGTTGGTCATTTGATTATAATATGTATATCAATGCATTTATAACCCTTTGACAAGTTGATGTTGTTGCATAATATAATTATTGTCATAGATCTTGTTCACTGATCAATTGCTAATTCCTTTTCTTATTCATTTTTTGCATAAACTCATCTGTTTGAGTCCATTTGGACTCTCCATCCCCTTGCATTCCTTCCTTTTCGAGTCAACCTCCATTAAGATGTGAAAGAGAAGCTGATCTTATTGGGTTAAAATCCAAATCGGTGGCAGCAGCAGCTTAGTAGCGAAGTAATAACAGTCCTAAAGGGCTGAAATTCGAGTTTTTGGACTTTAAAGTCCAGTAAAACTAGTAGCAAGAGCAGCCTTGAAAAGGCCCAAAAACGGGAAGCTATTATTATTGGGTTAAAACTCGGGAAGACAACAGCATCAATAGCCTAAAGGGGCTGGAAAATTGAAGATTGGATGAACTCAACAGTAGCGACCAATTGCTTTTGGACTAAAAGTCCAAATTCTTTTAAATTTCATCATTCTTACCATTTTGGATGTCTTATTATCTATTATATTATTTGCTTACTAATCTTTGTTAATTTAGGTGATTCCTTGGGGAGATTTTTTTTATTTAAGTATTCAAATTTTCAAAACATGTTTTAAGTTAGGCAATTTAAGCTTCAACACTAACTTGAGATTTATTCATATTCTTTCATAGTTAGTATTTACTTTTCAAATTCACGCCTACGTGATTGTGTTGATTATTCGACTAAAACACTTGACTCGGATAAATTATTAAGTTAAAATTTTATTTCGACACTTTAACGTTTAAAATATTTCATTATTTGAGATAATACGAATATATAAGTATCAAAAAATTTCTCATTTTCAAAAAAATAAGATTTTTAAGTAATTTAAGTTTTTTTAAAAAAAAATAAATTAGCCAAACTTTTTAATTCGCCGGTCAACCGTGTGTTAGCGAATTCTCTAAGATGCTTAAATCCTTTCTTGGAGAATTATTTGAACCCTTACTGGAGATTTTGGTTTATTAAAGTTTTTATTTAAAACGTTTTCTTACAAAAAACTCTTTTCAAATGGTTTCTTAATTTTTCATGAAATTAAGTGGCGACTTCTAATAAATTGTAAATTTTTTCCAAAATCAACAAATTGCCAAAGTTGTGAAAATGTTTTCGAAACCTTAGTTTCTTAAATCACATCATAACATAATGGAGACTCTGCTGGGGATTTATCTAGGTTCTAACCA